CAGTATATTTTGTCTTAAAGTGACAGCAGTGGCGGGCACTTGGACCATCAATGTTAATCAAACAACAACACAAAGAGAAAATCAGCTATAACGTTATCTGAATAATTTTACATATCAAAATATAAAGCAATGTTAATTCAGCTCTTAATTTGTTACGGTATAAAATACCATTAAAGTACCGGATCGATAAACAAAGTACCAGATCGATAAACAGTATCGGTAAGAGAAGTAATACCATTAAAACCTTAACAATACCCATCCCTATAGTCAGCTAACATATTTATCTGCAATGTAACATTCTTCCTCTATTTTAATAGTCTTCCTCTATTTTAAGTTCTCTCGCTTCCAATTCTTTGTGTCTCTTTCAAATTTGTTATTTCTGAGTGATGTATTTATTTTCCTGCTTTAATGATCTACATACAATATTTTGGACCACTCAGTGCTGCATTCAAAATCACATATTCCAAAGAGACATGTATAATTTCAAACAACGATGATGAGAACATAAGAGGGTGTTGAGAAGTGGAGAAGCACAAACACTTTACATGCCTACATGTTGCCCAATATGATTGTGCACCTCATCTAAAATACGGTGCAGAGTAATGCGCTTGGAATTTCAGGCATGACAGAAATGAATGCTGATGCATTGGCTATCTATGCGATTCGTGCCGTTTTGCTACGACTGCAACAGCTTGTGGTCTCACATTGCTTGGCATTTTTTATTATTTCTTTGTATCTCTTTTTTCCGTTGCTGCGCCTGATTACGTCAATTATCTGCAGAGACTGACCAGTCAGTGATTCAGTTTGGATGGCATTCCCCTACAGTTTGTCCCTCAATGGCATCTCTGTTAAGTCAAGACAGTGACACTGTGGCCCTATGCCTCTGTACACTTGTGTGTGTGTGTGTGTGTGTGTGTGTGTGTGTGAGGCAGACAGCTGCTGCCACACTTCGAGGGGCCTCTTCAATTTCGTCCCACCCTGTCCCCACTCCCTCTCCCTCCTTATACACAAACGTTCATTTTACGTACTACTTCTGGAGCTGAATGACTTTTCAGGGTTGTGGACTCGATCTTAAATATCTGTAGAAGTGTAAGGGACTTTTGCAAAAGGTCAGTTTGGATGCCTGCAGGATTTAAAGGTGACCAGCTGTGGCCGTTGTTCTTTGGGAAACGGAGCATCTCACGTGCGCTTCTCCTCAGATCAGTCTTCATCTAAGAGTCTTTGGCTTTATGTGCTCTTACAGGCTTACTGACATTAAACAAAATGGAACAGGCACTTACCACAAGTGGCTAAACACTACACTCTCTGTGCCTGCACTGGATTCAGGAGCTGGGACTCAAGGTAGGATTGATGTATTACAAAACCAGAGCAGGATGGCCGGATTGGTGTCATGTGGGAGTGTTTTTGACTGAAATTAGTACATCTTACTGTACTGACAAATGCGAGTGTGTCGGTTAGATACCAGTGTTGTGTGTAGGTGAGAGAGTTAGTGCACACATGGGAGAGTGATGTTTATGGCTCACTCGATCTGGCCACTTTCCTCCAAAATGAAGACATTGCTTCTCCAAAATGAAACAAGTTTGATATTTCTATCCCCTTCAGATTTCTCTACTTCAGCTGCCAGAATCAGAAGCTATTTAAGTCTATTCTAATATATGTCCAAGATACAAAATTAATAAATAATAATAATACCAATAAAAAAAGAAAAATCTAGTTTAAAATGCATGTGCCAAGTTTTAGAAATGTAATCTTTGTATTCATGTTGGTTTCAAATGTAATGATTTTTTTTGTATAGTTTCATTTTTTTATTGAATCACTCTAAAAATGTCATGTGATGTAATTTTTCAGTCAAAATGTATATGATTTCCCATACACCTTAAATACATGCAAGTGTAGACATCTTAATCATTATTTAAAAAATAAAAAATTCTATGTAAAAATGTAATTATTAATTCAGTTTTTAGAGATTGTACCACTTTAGACATTTTACAACCTGAACTAACCTTGCCATGTTATATGGAGGTACAATTATCATATATTTTTTAAGACTTATTGACATTGACACTCAGTCATGACGGTCTACAGGGATCCGCTCTGATATAATTTTCAGGGTTTTTTTTCTGCATGTTTCTCTACAATGTTTGCACGACATGATTTTGTTGGTCATATCATGTCACTTGATTTGGCAGACAAAGGTTTTTCAAATGTTTAGAATATTTATAATAAACCTGTTAATATGGCACCTGTTTTTTATTAGAAATAATAATAGTAATAATAGTAACAATATGCCAAAGAACCCAAGGTTTTCTTTTCAAGAATTGCATCCTTTTAATGAGTTTTTCTTTATTATGATATCAGGACAGTTCTTGACACTATGTTGATATAGTATTATTATTATTATTATTATTATTTTAATATCTAAATGAATCATAAAAATGTTTACGAGAGGTGTATTCAAGCCTTTTTATCTATGACTTGAACTTTTGTATGGTTGAATTTATATATATATATATATATATATAAATTAATTTTGGATGAAAAAAGTAGCATCATATCATTGACCCTTAAATAGTATTTTATTGGTTTATTAAATTTTCCCCTACCATTTTATTGATTTAAACTTATCAGCATTCTTCTTGTTTGACGCGAGTTCTCCTGAATGTTCACGGTTCACTGAAGCAGTTCTCTGCAGGATCTTTTTGTTCTGTCTGAGTCGTTGTACCCACGTAAGCTGATCCGTGTGACAGGTTAGCCGGGGCTCTCTCCTGCCAGTAAACATACACATGCACACACTATCTGTGTAATATGAGCTTTGAATGCTTTGTTTTGAAGCGGCGGGTAGAACTTAAGAGGCCTCTGTGTAGTTTTAACCATAGCAGAGGAACAAAGCTAATGCTGTTAATTGTAGGACTTTTCCTGTCACACTCCATCTGATGTGCTTTTACCTCTTATCATTTATTTTTGAGTTTATATTGCAATTAAAATCTTCAGCAGAGGGAAATGTTCAGTCTGAGACTGTTGAGCTTTCCAAAATTAATATGGGAGATATGATGCTTGGATGATACTTCACTGGGAAATTTAGGTCACATCACACAATTAGGTCTGTCATGCTGATCAGATGTTGAGTGTCATGTTGTGTGTGCGTTTGGTTTGGCATGGCGGGGCTGTTGCCTCTTGTGTTGCCGTGCAGTGGGGTGATATCCAGAGGGCCAGAGCTTGGCTCTCTAACAAAGAGAACCCTGTGGATGGAAAAACAGCTGAGAGGGAGTGAGAGGGGGTAAAGTACAGCATTGTTAATCCCCTCCACACCTGATGGTAAAAAATAAACAACAACACAGATTGAGATTCCTGGCAGTCTGGCGGTTTAATGACAGAAGCCTGTGATCTTTTCCTCAGGGTTAATTTCCTAATCTTGTTTAAGACAGAGTTGTCTGTTCGAGTTTAAGGGCATGTCTAAGCAAACAGTTGGAACTACTTATTGTAACATATTAGCTGTATTTAGGTCTTATATTGTATATCTACTAGTTGTACTACTAGAGCTGTGCACAAATATCCAACTAATTAAGTACTCATTCTGCACCAACTGTTTGATAAAGTTACTAGTCTAAAACACTATTCAAATATTTTTTGAATTATACTGTATTAATATTGTATTAATAACTAAGGTAACACTTTAGTTTAGGGACCAGTTCTCACTATTAACTAGTAGTTTATTAGCATGCATATCACTAGCATATTGGCTGTTTATTAGTACTTATAAAGCACATATTAATGCCTTATTCTTCATGACCATATTTTAAATCCCTTAATCTTACCCCATACCTGAACCTAACAACTACCTTACTAATTATTAATAAGCTGCAAATTAGGAGTTTATTGAGGTAAAAGTTACCAGCTAGTAAATAGTACGAATTGGAACTTAAATTAGAGTGTTATCATAATGAATATTAATAATAGCTTTCAGGTCGACCATTATACCATACGGTATTATTTATCCAGTTTCATTCCATCTTTTTGTGAAGGGATGTTTTTCCCCTCCATCTGATGAATTTATTATTTCATTCTTATTATGCATTTCATTTTCACATAATGTTGCCCTCTTTTATTTTGTTTCCACTGTGCTTTACAGCCACCCATTTGATAGATTCATGTAGGCTAGTTTTCAAAGAGTTGAACTGCTGCCCCCTTCACTTTGTCACAATCCGTGACATTTTGAACTCTGCTTTTTATGCAAAACCAGCATTTCCATTTTCTCTGTTTTAAATGGAAAAAACATGCATAATCAAGTTGTAATTGTCAGTTACCTCTTTTAGTGTGAGTGCTTCGCAGGCTTTTGGGTGGTGTTAAATTAAAGTCTGTATATAGAGGTTTTAGCCAGTATCTCCAAGCAGAGTTTTGCCAGAGTGAGCCTGTCTGAACCCACAGTGTCCACTGAATGTGGCTGGATCAATAGGACCAGGTGTCACAAAAACACCTGCAATGACTTTTGTAGGACTGAAACATCTCACAGTGCTTTTCCTGCAGTTAGTCAGTGTTAATTTGGTACTGTTCTCATGTAATAATATTACATAACAGAATGATTATTCCAGAAAGACCAGTCTGTTGAACTATTCATAGGCTGTGGACATGTTGTAAGTTCAGTCTAAACTCCATCCAGTAGATTTGTTTGATACAAGTGGAGATAGTATGAGGACCACTCCGATAAAAAAAAAGAGTGGGAGAAATTGCAATGGTCATTACAGCTGCTGTAAAAATGGAAGTCTTGCCTGTAAGTTAAAATGGCCTTTTATTTCCTTTTTGAATTACATTCATGCATTTAGCAGCTTTTATCCAAAACTATGTCAAGATGGTGGTCAACGGAACTGACTTGACTCAGTGGAATGTAGCAAAATTGGTCAGGAGAATCATTCAATAAGTGACGTTTTCATTAGTCATGTGACTCTTTGAATGTGTTGTAGTACATGCAACTTAAATCAAATGGTTCTCCTCTATCCTTTCAGGCATGGAAGAAGCGATGGTTTGTTCTGCGCAGTGGGAGGCTGTCAGGAGACCCAGATGTGCTGGAGTATTACAAGAATGACCATGCCAAGAAGCCCATCCGCGTGATCGATCTAAACCTGTGCGAGCAGGTGGACGCCGGTCTCACATTCAACAAGAAGGACCTGGAGCACAGCTTCATCTTTGACATCAAGACTATCGACCGGATCTTTTACCTGGTGGCAGACACTGAAGAGGAAATGAACAAGTGGGTGCGCTGCATCTGTGATATCTGTGGCTTCAACCCCACCGATTCGGAAGGTAAATCATGCCACATGCAAACACACGAAAGCATTAAATGATTACGATTTCAAAAGGTTTCATTAAACAATTCTTTAGTACTTTTGGGAAGATATTTGATGGGGAAAAAAATCCAATTTCATTTCCAAATAATGAGATAATAAATGTTTTCAAGAGATGTCTTTTATTGACAAATCTATGCTTGGATTCTTGCACTCCCGGGCCCTGCAGACAGGATGGTCATTCACTGTAATCCAGATACGAGATTGGAGTGCGAAAGCCCAGAGAGTCCCCTTAAGGTTGACTAATTGTGGCACCTCAGGGTCTCCATCAGCTCAGCTGTATTGATCTCAGATGCTTTCAGCTCACTGTGGCCTTCTTTAAAAGTTATGTGAAGTCCTGAAGCTTGTGAATACTGTTGTGGTAAATTATGCTCATGTTGGTTTTTAATGAGGAAGTGTATGATTGAGCTACAGCTTAGGAAAATGTTTGTGGTTATACATCTGGCCTTCACCGTTTTGTGAACTTTTGCTACTGTATAATAGGCTTGCTGTGATAGACAGTGTTTTCGGTTATACCGGTGTTAAGCCGCAACACCGGTTACGTCATTTGCCTACCGCGGCACCGCTTCCCACCGTCGTTTTGATTTATTTATAGTAACAAAAATCCTTTAGCCTAGTTCAGTTAGAGGATAGACACTTTTAAAAACAAAACGCTCAATGCAGCGTGCCGAACCGTGCGCGAACGACAGTGCACCACGGAGCAGGAGTCAGATTTTATTTATCACGTGAGGAGAGTGAGTCGAGCTGGCTGACAAGAGTGAGGTGAGAAAGACAAGACAATGGCAGAAGATTGTTTAGAAAGGAAATGCAAAGGCGCCTGTTTGGCAATATTTTAGATTTTGAAAAGCCTATTGACTGGAAGTTTATTTAAACATTCGTTTCTTATTTATTTGGTTCCACAGTGTTTGCTGATTACTTTATTTAAACTTTGTGTATTTTATTTATTTTATTTTACATCAAGGTGTAATACAAAGACATACATAGACATACACATTTATATACAACCGTACATTATTTCCAATTTTTCACATTAACTCTGCACACCACCAACCTTTCCAAATAAAGATTCAAATCTTGATTATGGTTTGAATATAGTTTGTAGAATTCTAAAGGAGCCTTATAACACATTTGATCTGTCTAGCGATAATTAGTGGTCCTAAACTAACAAAGTAAGTGCCACATTTCAGGGTCTGATAAAAATGTATTAATTTTTACCTAAAAGCAGACATTTTCGCATTCTAAACAGGTCCGTATCAGGCCGTGCCTCCAAGCTTTCTTATTCATTTTGTAATAAACGTTCTATGTTTCTTATTTATTTGGTTCCACAGTGTTTGCTGATTTTCAGTTTTATATACCTATTTAAACTTTGTGTAGCCTAAGTAATTTGTTATTTTATTAAGCATATATGGTGTATTTTTATTAGTTTTGTTAATAAAAGTTCTATGAGTTTGACGTTGTTGTTGCTTTAATTGAATCAACGCCGAATTGCCGCTAATATGAAAGTGAAAGTAAAATGCGCACTGCGCTTTTTCAAGCTATTTGAAAGCCAAGAAATCAGAGGAAAAGAGGGAAAACTCAAACAAACAATTGCTTGCAGTTCAATTGCGCTAATTTGAAAGTGAAAGTAAAATGCGCACAGCACTTTTACAAGCCATTTGAAAGCAAAGAAAAGAGGGAAACTCAAACGAACTAACACCCCCACCCCAACGGTGATACCGGTATTACCAGTGGTGTCACACGTCGATTAACCGGTGGGAAAACCCTACTGTATAGGATAGACACAGTCAAGAAGAGACCAGAAATAACCTCTTAACTTTACAGCTGATTAGCCAAAAAGTTAAGCCTTCTGGAAAAACATCACGTAACGATTAATATTCATGATCAAAGCGTCTGTGGTAATTGGCCAAAGTTATAGGACCCCCAAGCTTTTTAAATTTCAACTTTGTTCCAGTTTCGGTAAAGTGTATTTAGTAACATATTCATAGTTTCTAGAATGAAGTCTGATATGAGTATTGCTGCTGAATTTGGTATTGTGACACAACTCTGTATTTTTTTACTTTAATGTTAAATGTTTCTGTATTTGAAAATGTGGGACACATTCTCTTTCGCTTTTTTGGCTGTATTGATAATGCATCATATCAAGAAAAGGACCAAACAGTTAGTTTCAAACTGTTCATTTTGTCTATTACGAATACACATAGAAGCCTGTCATTATTAGCCACCGATACTAAACAGGGTACTGAGAATGCAAATATGTAGGGGGATTTTCCAGGGCTTGGATGATTCAGCAGCAAGCCTGACAAACAAGAGCGGGGAGTGGAGAAGAATGCGGGAAGGAGAAAAATGGGGAAAAAAAGTGAAGAGACCGAAAGAGAGACAGTGGCCCTGACGGCCTTGAGCTGCCTGCACTTAGAGACAGTCAAATGCACCCAGCGGATGAGTGGGTGAGTGTGGGTGTCAATGTGTGTGCGCACAAGTGATGTGTTTGTGTGCGTTTTACTGAATAACTGAAAGCAGAGTTTGAAGAGAGACTTAAAACAAAAACACGCACAGCCACCCCGTTAGCCGCACTCTACTGACCTTGAGAGTAGGCTGCTCAAAGAGAGATGGAAATAAAAATAAAAAAAGTTAGAGATAAAGAAAAGCTCTTTTAAAAGAACATAGACAAAAAGCTTTACAAGATATCCTAGTTGCCACATAAAAACCGAGACTCCGTCATGGATTAGTGGCACTTTCATTAGCGTCTTGCGTTCAGGGTTCCTCTCTGCACAGTTCTGCACTTTCACACGGCCTGTGTAGGATGGCGGCCTTAACCTTGATCAGTCCCTTTACAAAAACAAGCATTCAATTCTCCCTCAAAGTAACATGGTCATCTCTGTTCTCCATTTGAATCTCATCTTCAGTCAATCTATCATTTTCAGTCAGTTTATTGTAAAATGTGACCATACAATACAAACTTAAAGACCCAATGAAATCGGAAGGGGAGTTTTGTATTTTTTTTAGCCCATATCTATTAGCTTTAAAGCTAATCTATGTTAGTGTACTCCTAAAAATTGGCCTTGAGTTAGATGCACACAATCTCGCCGAAATTACGTGAATACACCCTTCAACATGTTGCACATAAACATGTAGGTTTCAGTAGGAAGTACGTCAACATAGGAAGGAAATTTTCATTTAAACTCTTGGTTGGAGACAGTATCTAGCCTGCTGTCGCCAACTTTTAGCCTTAAAATCAATGGAAAAACATGTTATAATAATGCACTTACATTGGAGGTGTGTTTGGAAAATGTACATCATGAGACCAATTAAATCAGTTAAATGGAGCAGGTCATAGAACTAAAAGCTAGTTATCAATTAATGGCATATAAAATCGAATTAATGGCATATATACAGTGGGGAAAAAAAGTATTTAGTCAGCCACCAATTGTGCTTAATACAGGTAACGTGTGGAGGACAGAGGAGCCTCTTAAAGAAGTTGTTACAGGTCTGTGAGAGCCAGAAATCTTGCTTGTTTGTAGGTGACCAAATACTTATTTTACCGAGGAATTTACCAATTAATTCTTTAAAAATCCTACAATGTGATTTTCTGGATTTTTTTTTCTCATTTTGTCTCTCATAGTTGAGGTATACCTATGATGAAAATTACAGGCCTCTCTCATCTTTTTAAGTGGGAGAACTTGCACAATTGATGGCTGACTAAATACTTTTTTGCCCCACTGTATATATATAAAACTATAATAAATGATTATCATGAGATGCGTCTCTCCGTATTTTCCAAATTGCATATTCTATAAATATTCCAGAACACAAAAGGCACTGATTTAAGCATGAAATAACTACAAGAAAATAAATGGATGGATGGATGGATGGATACAAGGATAGATCAAACATTAAAAAAGGTACACAAATTTAACTAATATTTAGTATAGAAATGTGCTAAATATTAGTATTTCGATAATTTTGCAACCACACATTGTATTTTCTCAATTTCATTTAATCAGTTCACACTTCTTTTTTTTGCCCCAGTTCACTTAGCTTACCAGAAGTCAGCCTGCGGAGAGGCTTTCACAATGCTAATTTGTTTTGTACAGGGATGGTTTCAGTAAAAGCTTTTGATTAAAACAATGCTGCGCTGAGCTTGATCTGACCTTAAGTGTATTTCAAAGCTTATGATCTCATACAGTGTGAAGCTCAGTGTTAATCTCTCCTCTCTTTTCTTTCTACAGACTCTGCAAAGATCTCTCACCAAGTAAATGTGCCAGGCGGTATGGTGGTGGATATGGCTCCTAGTGGAAGGCCAGGAGGAGCCTTAAGGGCTTCTTCACTGGCCAACTTGCCTCCTCCCTACCAGCCTGTCAGCATCAGACCCTTGGGGTCCTCCTCCAGTCTGGATGAGCCTCAGGACTACCTTTGGCTGCTCAACTGTGAGAGCAAGAAACCAGAGCCTAACAGGTAAGACTTGTAGCGCATCACACAGCGTGAGGGGAATGTGTATATTGGCTATTTTAGAATGTGGCTCATCCAATATTTTGTTGTTGCTGTTTTTTGTTTTTTGTTTTGTTTTTAAATCAACTGTTATATAAACCATCCACTCCTACAAAGACGCTTTAGGACATTCAGGTGCTATGGGTGAAGACCTGCATATATGGGTCTCATTGTATGTATTTGTGTGTGTGGTATAGTCCAGTGGCTCCTCTTGCTCTAGGAGAGGAGCAGGAATACCTGCTTTTGGAGGAGTGTGAGAGCAGGAGCGCTCCTCCTGACTGTCAGTGAGTGAAGAGCATCAGTGTGAAGAAAACAATACTAAACAGCACACACACATATGGCCGTCAGCCAAATACTACTTTTTTACCTAAAAATCTGCACACTTATTATAATAACTTACTAAAATATGTATTCAACTTAAATTCTACTGACTAAAATGGGTTGGTATGTTTTCTTGCCTTCAGTGCTTAAAAGAGTGTGTATCCATAGTTTGAACCAGGACTTGTGTGAAATATGACATGCATGGTTGTGTTTGGCACTAACCTTGCCAGTTCTAGTTGTATAGCAAGAAGCTTATTACACAGCTTTCTGGAATACTTGACAACATTTGGTTAATCGCTGCCTTCTGTGATCAAATGTTGTGTAATGATCGTTAAACTATATTTGACCGTTGTCCCTGGCAACGGAATGCGGAAAGTATGCCAGGGCCTTTAGAGAGTGGTATATAGACAGTTATTAATTCCCTTACCTCTCCAAAAAAAAAGGAAGAAACTTTCACTACTAAGCAAGGCTTCACTACTCAGTATTTTCTCCATTGTTAAAGTCCCCCTGTAGTGAAAATCAAGTTTTTTATGTTGTTTATTTGTCTATGTGGTGTTTTAATATGCTTTTTAGACAAACCATGTGCCAATCTATTAATCAACACCATTGCTGAGTATTTTCTCCTTAAAAGTGTAGTTTCCCAAAGGCTGACCCAGAAATGCAGTTTGAAACAGACCTTGGATTGAAACAGATCACAATCCAATCACATCAAGGGATCGATTCCTATCACTAACATGCAAAATACACCAATACCAGCACAAAACCAAAAATAAATCAGAGCAAAAAACCCATGAAGCTGTGGTTTAATGTGAATTTAGAACCGCTAACTTGCATTATAACCCGTGGCAACAGTGTAAAAGTAGCCCCCTTCACACGTGTATGCTCGCGGGCGCGAATTAACAATCACAAACGGCTGCATTCGAGTCTTCAAGGCATTGACACAACATCGTCAAGTAAGTAAATTTAACGAATGTTACAGTATTCACTGTAGTTGTCCGCTAGTAAAAACAGTTTTATCAGTCATTATCCGTGTATGCCACTGTTTTGCGGTTACTACAGTTCAGTGGATCAGGAGGCGGTGGCTGTGTGACTGAGTGGAGGCGGGACTAATTTGCATATTCATAGATCCGCGTATAGTAAATGAGGCAAGGGTGTAGAGTTACATTCAAGCTATTTTAAGGCATGAGAAAATTATTTTCACAAGAAAAAAAATTTAAATGTCATTTTGATGATCAAAGATCAGTTTTAAGGGATAAAATATTTGACTACAGGGGAACTTTAAATCTTTCCAATGCTATCAGTGTTTACACTCATTCTTTTTTCTTTGTCAATCTTTCTGGCTTCACACCTTTTCTTCTTTTCTCCCGTCCAGTTTTATAGAAAATGAATGATGACAGATGGCTCTTTACAAAAGCACAATTTATTTCTTAATGTGAAAAACTTTTTAACTTTGCACCAAACTACTGAATTATTTCAGTAGTGCTTATTTCTGTGTAATAAGCGGGATAATATAGTTGGCTGGTCAATATTGTAAAATAAACCACTTCAGGATTCAATTATTATGCAGTAATGACTATAACTACCAACTGACTATACACTATCTTTTACATGCATGTATCTTTTACATGTCAGTTAATTAAAATACAAAGATTAATTCATATTGTGATTTTCATAATGACAAAACTTATTTGCAGGCAGCATGATTTCACAAATAGCGTGGTATGTGTTTGAAGGGGTGTTTTCGTCTTTGTATTGATGAGGAGCAAGTTTGTTTTAATATATGTTTGGCATTTGTTTAAATTACTTAACTGACAATCTTTATCTCATATATATATTAGGGCTGTCAATCGATTAAACATTTTAATGTAATTAATTACATGATGTGGCGATTAATTAATCTAATTAATCACTTATTAATTGCACATCAAATTTGACAGAGTAATTACCCACAAAATATCATTTAAAGCCATTATTGTGTTACATGAGAAAAACATGAAATAGATGTACTGTAACAAAAAGTCGCTTTAGAATTAAATTGTTCTTTTTTTTGGGGGGGGTGAACTATCCCTTTAATTAGTTTTTTCTATTAATATTAATTAGTTTAATTCGTTTTTTTATTAAGACTAAAACTGCTAGTAGGTGTCAGTAAATGTCTTTAAAGGTATTAATAAGTCATTGAGTCATTTGTTTTAGTAATTTAGTATTTTTATTTATTTATTTATTATTATTTTGCCAGTTTGCCAGAATGCTTGAAATATATGATAAAAAGCACAAAAATGTAACCCACTGTTATGTTTTTTTTTTTTTTTTTTTACCATGCATGAGCAGGTACAGAATGAATACTGATGTTTGTACTGTGGACATCGTTATTTTGAGTCTAAATCCTGATTTTATTGACTTTTTCTTATTTTCTGGCATATAATTCACTCAGGATATCTTAATTGGAGGCTATCAAGCTCTTTGTGCTGCAACAATGGGGTCATGTAGTCATCAGTGGGTCCCTCTAGTGTTGTTTGGTGGAATTGTGGCATTGAGATGTTTACAGACAGTGTGTGACAACCTTGTGAAGACTTACAGAAAACGTTTGACCTCTGTCATTGCCAACAAAGGGTATATAACAAAGTATTGAGATGAAATTTTGTTATTGACCAAATACTTATTTTCCACCATAATTTGCAAATAAATTCTTTAAAAATCCTACAATGTGATTTTCTGGATTTTTTTTCCCCCTCATTTTGTCTCTCATAGTTGAGGTATACCTATGATGAAAATTACAGGCCTCTCTCATCTTTTTAAGTGGGAGAACTTGCACAATTGGTGGCTGACTAAATACTTTTTTTCCCCACTGTATATAAATTAATGCACTTATACAGCAAGGATGGAATAAATTGGTAAAAAAATGACAATAGATTTATATTACGCAAGGATGCATTAAATTGATGAAAAGTGAAAGTATAGATATACAGATTACAAAAGATTTATATTTTAAATAAATGTTGTTCTTCTGAACTTTCTCATGACAGTCATTTGACACTCAAGACTGGAGTAATGGCTGCTGAAAATTCAGCATTGGAAACACAGGAATAAATTACATTTTAAAATGTATTAAAATAGAAATCAGTTATTTTAAATATTATTAAACATTTCGCATTATCACTGTTTTACTATATTTTTAATAAAGATAAATGCAGCCTTGGTTCCCCGTACATATAAGAGTGGTTCTGTGACTTTTTTTTTTTTTTTCCTTTTTACTGCATTCATTTATTTTGTATTTGTTTCACAGATTACGGATCTCAAGACTGCTATGATATACCCCGTCCCTTCCCCCCAGATAAAAGTTGCTCATTTGATTTTAACGAAAGCTTCAACAACTATTTTGTAAGTTTTCGTAATAATAATAATCTTTATCTATTTTAAAACTTGGTACTGTCTTTCAAGTGTATTCCTAACAGTTTCTTCTCTGCTCTTGGATGCATGTAGAAGAATAAAGGCATGGTGCCAGTAGGAGGTGTTTCCACTGAGGAGATGGATGAGAACTATGTGCCCATGAGCGTCCACTCTTCCGCACATCAGCGCTCCAGCAGCCTATCAGAACCCATCCAGGAGCCCAACTATGTGCCCATGACACCGGGCACAGTGGAGTTCTCCTCCCTCGGAAAACAGGTGCCTCCTCCAGCTCACATGGGCTTCCGCTCCAGCCCCAAGACCCCACCACGTAGACCGGTGCACATGCCCGAATGCCAACCCCCACCCGTAGACCGCAACCTCAAACCTGACCGTAAAGGTGAGCCCTGAGATTTGTTTCTTTTGTGGTGTATGTGTGTGTGATATAAGTGAGGAGTTGTGTTAATGTTTATAGTGCTTGCATCTCTTCGGCATAGCAACTCTCATTACCACCTTTCTCACTAACAGGTGCCGGCCCATGCTTATAAAAAGAGGTTTAATTTCAACTTTTGATCAGTTCTCAGGCTGCTCATTGCCATGCAATCATAACTTGCATTACACATCTGCTGTTTCAATGACCTTTGCGTTTTAATCATTAGCATGTGACCTCACAAATAAAATAAGCTATTGTCTACAGACTCTGAGCCCTGGGTATGAGGGAGCCTGTCTGCGCCGTTAGCCTGGAGCGGTCACCTCTGTCCCCATTGTGCCTTAGTGAAAGATCTCTTTGATGGCGCAGACCTGCGAGGGGAATTTAAATCTGGTTTGAGAGAAAAAGGGGACGTGCTGAAAGTTGCACAAGCGGGCCGAAACATCAGCAGCCAGCTGGGACAACACTATTGATCTAAACATTAATGGCAGCAGCTCTCTGCGCTCATCCAAAACCATTGTGTATCTTCAATTACGTGTTACTGTTTCCGAGCACCGGCTAATGCAAGAGACAGCAAGTTACATGCAGAGGAAGATGCACCACTTGGCCATAACTATGTGAAAACACTGTGTAATTAACAGGTTTGGAGATTTCAGTGACACCCATGACTAGCAAGTGCATGAAATCAAGCAGCAATGTGCTCTTAGACAAATATTTTTAGTAGAAAAATTGAGTTATGAGATATTGCATCCAAAAGCTGGATGGAAACACCAAGGAGCAAATTAAATTTATTTCCTATATATATATATATATATATATATATAGCAAAATAATAAACAAAATAACGATACAACATAATAAATAAAGAATGAAAACCTTTATTTGCACCTAGATTTTTTTATACTGTACATGTTACATGTACTTACTATAGTAATTCCGTTAAATTATACATAATTACAAGAAACTAATCCTAAACCCAACCCTAACCCTATAGTAAGTACATGTTGTAAATTACTTAATAATTACTTAATCTTTAAGTTATAAACTACTATAAAACACACTGACCAAATAAATAGCTTGATGTGCATCAAAGTCATGTGACTCAATAATTAGCTCAGAAGATTGGCTCAGTCATTCAGACCATAATCTGCCACATACATTTTATTGGCAAAGTTTACATACAGCTTATTGGCCAAGTAGTGCATGTAGAGTAATGAAATAGGTCTTCTTTAAAATCATTTTTCTATTTTCTAAACATGGGCCAGAACATGGTATGATTCAAACAGCTTTGGTGGCATTTTAAAGGCAGTTGTTGGGTACTTGTTGTGTCTTAGTGTGTTTGTCCTCTCTCTTGTCTTTTTAGTGGCTACTCTATATAGGTTTAAATATTAGTTTCTGTTCTGTCTGGTTTTTATCTCTTCCTGTATCACACTTTTTACCTGAACACTCACCTCTCCTTCAGTCTTAGAAATCATTGAGATATTCTGCTCTTTTGGCCTGTTGTTTAATTGTGGCCATCATTACTGTTGACTTGTGGTATTTTCTTGTGGCAGCTATATGCATATAGCAGACAAAATATGTTGGTTTAATTTTTCTAAAATTACATAGACATTATTGAACCCTTCTGTCTGGCTGAGCTACATGCTGGCGTGTCGTCGGTTGGTGTTTATGCTTTACTCACTCACGTGTTGTCTGTTTAACCCTGTGCATGTCTCGTCTTTGTGGGGAAAAAAAAAACACCACAGCAACTGTTCCACTCAGTTAAAAAATATATAAATTACAGAAGTAATTTATATGCACATACATTAACAGCTGGAAGTTTGAAGTCTGTAAGATTTTTTTAAATGGTTTTGAAAGATGTCTCTTATGCTTATCAAGGCTGCATTTATTTGCATTTAAAAATACAGTAAATATACAGTATATACATACAGTAATACAGAAATAATGTGAAATATTGTTGCAATTTAAAATAACTTTTTTTTTTAAATATATGTGACCCTGGACCACAAAACCAGTCTTAAGTCGCTGGGGTAAATTTGTAGCAATAAATTATAGATTTTTCTTTTATGCTAAAAAATCATTAGGATATTAAGTAAAGATCATGTTCCATGAAGATATTTTGTAAATTTCCTACTGTAAATATATCAAAACTTAATTTTAGATTAGTAACCTGCATTGCTAAGAACTTCATTTGGACAACTTTAAAGGCGATTTTCTCAATATTTAGATTTTTTTGCACCCTCAGATTCCAGATTTTAAAATAGTTGTATCTCGGGCCAAATATTGTCCTATCCTAACAAATCATACATCAATGGAAAGCTTATTTATTCAGCTTTCAGATGATGTATACATCTCAATTTCGAAAAATTGACCCTTATGACTGGTTTTGTGGTCCATGGTCACATATTTTAAAATGTTATTTGTTAACATTGTTATCTTGAGTGTCACATGATCCTTCAGAAATCATTCTAATATGCTGATTCGGTTCTCAAGAAACATTGCGTATTATTATCAATGTTGAAAACAGTTGTGCTGCCTAATATTCTATGATGAATAGAAAGTTCACAAAAATAGAAATATTTTGAAAGAACAACGTTAAAGCCTCGTCTCGACTAAAATTCATCCTTTTAATTCAACTTTTTAAAGTTATTAGTTATTCGTTTTCTTCCATATTCTTTTCTGCAGATTTGATTTTAAAATAAACGTTCTTACACATCGTATATATTTAATCTATAAATTATTATTATTATTATTTTTTTTTTAAAGGGGTCATATGATGCGATTCCTTTTTCTTTGGAGTATATATATATATATATATATATATATATATCTGCGCTGTGAGATCCAGCAAGAAGTGCTTGAATTCAGTGAAGAACACTAATGTCTTTGCTATTTTTAGTTTAAAATGCTGATGTTCTCAACAGCACTGACACACACGAGAAACTTTGTGCCATGAACAACCTCGTTAGAAGGCTTTTCCATGGATTTACTGTAGTGACGTTAACTGGACAATGGTATTGTGGCAGAAATAAGGGGTATGCAATATGGAATTTTATTATATTATTAATGTAGACATGTATTAAATGTACTAAAGGAGTAATGATTGTTATTAAGCTATAGCATTTGTGCATTTGTATTTACACGAAATGTGTTTTTTAGGCTACTGTTTTTCATACAAATACCACAGAAACCATATAGTTACATGTTACCATGATAATGACCATGGTAAACCTTTGGTTATTCTTATCTAATTGTGTGATGCTATGAATGGCCAATGGTTAATTTTAATAAAAGTACAGTCCTAACTCAAACATCTGCATCGTGCCATCAAGGTCAGGGACCACAAACCTGTTTCCTGGTTTGAAACAATATCACCTGTTAGAACATGCAGAAACTAAGAAATTAGTTTCTCTATTAAAATATTTTGTTAAGGAAAAATAAAAAGGATTGCAATTTTCTTGGCCGAATTCTGATTTTTTTGTTAGTGTGACTTTTCTTTCTAAGAACTATAATTGACCGCATATACAAACAAAAATCTACTTTTCTTTAACGCAAAGTTTTATTTTCATAAAAAAAAAACAAGTAAAAAGTCATTAATAAAATAACAAATACAAAAATTGCAAACAACAGCACAAATAAATGCAATAGAATAAAGAGAACTATGAAACTACATTTTTCAGATTAAGTAAGTTTTTATTCAGGTAAGAAATACTACAGAAATTAAAGTAATCAAATGTAAAATAACACATTCAGTGTTATTTTACATTTGATTTTCATTTCTGTAGTCTTCATTGTAAAAATTAAATGCAGATTAATTCTTACCATTAAAGTTATAAAACGTATGGAGTCAAGAGCAGAAAGTGATTTTCTTTGTCTTTTGTTCTTTGATTAACCTGACAGACAGCAGCAGGAATATTGGACTGCGGTCCCTTTAAAAGTTTATCCACGGGCCCCAATATACTGTTACACAACATGCATTCTCTTTCTCAACTATTTAATGTTCCAAAACTGACTGTGTTTAACTGGATACTCGCCAAGACGGGCATTTAGACATAATTATGTATGTATTTGACCGTTTTAGCACAGTTAGCCACTCATTTTGGTATTTGTGGCTCACAAGCTGTTTGAGACTGAGCACGGCTTGTGTGCTCCACTAATATAGATCAGTGGTGGTGTAAGCGCGAAACCTGCGGGAATGACTAAAATAATGCGCAATACAAGCACTACTTAACCGGAGCGAATGAGACGTGTGTGAGAGAGAAGAGGGCAAGAATGCGTGGCTGATTGCCTGTGCCGCTGCCCGCTGGTAACAAAACGGATCGACTCGGAATCGGAAAGAAGTGAGACTGATCGGCCGATCACCGATCCGGGCCGATCATGAAGAAAATCCTTAGCCGATCGATCGATGCATCTCTATTATAAATGTTTTGAATAGATTTAGATTTGTGATATGTTTGCATGTTCGCACATTTTAAAACCACAATTAACTGTCTGGTTACAACTTTCTCTCAGAATAAATCTGCCTTTAAACTTGAAAGAAATATAGATTTGGCATTTATTGTGATGTTTATCAATATCGACTGATTTTGTGAAATTGTGATAATTTATCTTTGGCCATATTGCTCAGCCCTACTTATAGTAGCGATAAAGTGAAATTGTATTTCAAATGTAAATATAATGCATATGTCAAAGTAAAATACTAATAAATGAAAGCAATAGTTTTAATGCTGCAAGTGGATTTAGGAGTCACAACATTTTCTAAACATTACATGTTAATAAATTATATATATATGTATAATTACATATATAATATCATCTGAAAACCGATATTTTACCGATACATTGTGCCTCCCTAAAGGAAACATTCTTTTCACATAATAATTCATTATAAACATTTTTGAAAAGTCTGTTTTATACACTAATACTAGAAAAGTGTTGTTACATTTTTTTAAAGTATCAAATTGGTACCCAAATACTGGTACTTTTGGTATCTCTGTCTCCTGTTTTGACTGTCTGTCACATCTTGGCCTTGCAGAAGAAGAGTAATGGGACTGGTATTTCAGCATCAGACGAGCGGGTAGACTATGTGGTGGTGGATCAGCATCGAACGCAAGCACTGAAGAGCACACGTGAGGCCTGGAGTGACGAACGGCAGTCGACGGAGCAAGATCCCCCTATCAAAGGGGCCAAATGACACCCATCTCTTTCCTCTTTTCTGAAAGGTCATGACTCGCAGGGGCCGAGGAACGGAGGATGCTGCATATGCTCTGAACCTCCTATCCGGCCTCCACGTTTGATTTTAAATACAGCTGTGTGACAGTGCCTAGGTCACAGCTCCCAGATCAGCTAGTTTGCACTGCTTCCTGCTAGACGACAGCACCCGCGCAGGGGAGAGCTGATCCGAGGGATCCTCATGTATAAGCTGACAAGACTCCAGGTAGGATGGACCACACTCGGCACACAGGGGCTGAAGAACTCGCCGAGCCTTTTTGGCTGAAAGCCTAGTGAAAAATACGCTAACAGAGCAGCATTATTCATACTACATGGATACTCACTGCTCCCCCACTCATCAACTCAGACAGTTTCCAATTTTTTTATATTGTCTTTCCCACGTCGTGGTGATAAAGCACATTATTCCATGGGCTGGGGTGCATCAGGTCTGTTGAATTTGTGTGTCCTCAAGGGCTTTTTTTTTATTATTAAAAAAAATACAATGTTCCATGTTCACAAAACTGCCAAGGTGAGTTTTTAGGATGTGTTTTAGAAGCCTAATTTTTTTTATTTTTATTTTTATTTTTTATAGTTCCATGATAATCTGAAACCTTTACACATCTAGGTTTCTTTTTTTAAAATTGTTTTATCATTTTGAGCCTCAATAATTCGGTAGTGCAATCAAAAGGTTTTGAGTTGCTTGAGCCGCAAATCTACTAAGGTTGGTTTGTTTGAAAATGATTATCGTTTGCATTTGCATTTAAGACAGCAGACAGACTGTATAAAGTGTTATGTACGTGAATAAAAGTGTCCTTTATTTGTATCTAATATCTAGTATGTTAAGGCTAAGGTGTGGATTCTGCAGGATAGAAGTCTACATGGTCTGAGATGGTATCAGAAGCTATGAAATGTCATTGATGGAATTAGGAACTGTGATCGTTTTTAACAGAGAAGAGATTTATCTGTGTTTTGTGTGTTTTATGTTTTTGGTTTTATCCTCTCTTTTATTTTTATGCAAAGCAAGGTATCAATTTAGTCAGGTCAGGTACTCACTGAAAGGTTTAACAGATTTCATTTCATTTATTTTATTTTGCAGCTATAGATGACGTCTTTAGTGTTGCAAATTATATGTTCTCATAGAAACCTTTTAAAATTGCTTACGGCGCAATATGTTATTACAAAGGCTGTGTGCTGTATGAGATGCCTTCATGGAGGGGCGGAAAAGCCAGTCAAGTAGTTTCAGGAATTTTATTATGTTTCTTCATTCTCTGTGTGACTAGTCTATCAATGCATTTTATTGCAACTTCGATAATTTATTTCAGATGGAGTTCCACAGCTCTTGGAGACTAATTACATTGCAGCTTTTTTTGAATGTTGTAAATATGATCCATTCAGTGATTTCAGCTCATGTCAGAATACATCTGTTCAGAATACATCAGCATAGAACTTTACTTTGTGTGTGTAAAATAAAAATAGCTCTACTAACTAACATTCTTAAGCCAAGAAGACACTGTTGCTGTGTTTCAACACCATTGGTGGCTTCTGCTGTATATATGGATACTGGCTTTTCAAGCATGTCTTCTGATTCAAAGCTGTGCCTATATTGTTTCCCTTCTACTCAAAACCTTTTTTTTTTCTTTAAGTCCTCAGACCCTGATGCTTTATATCTTTTTTTAATGAATCTGAAAGAAATGTACATTTTAAAATAAACTCAATAAAAAAATAATACTTAAGGAGATTACTGCTGACATTGCAACTAATGTATTTTGTGATGATTGTAAACAGTTTCCAGAACTGCAATTTCAATTGCATAGAACATTATGGATTAATATTAAATCATAAATGGTGTCCTGATAGATATCTGTGCATGTAAGTGAGCCGCAACTGCAACAGTAGCTCATTTACCAAAGCAGTTTGTTTGAACTTGATTTTCTTTTTACTGTCTAGGAACATACTGGAACATCTTACAGATCATGCACATTTGATGGATCTTATGTCAGTTGAATGATAGAAATTCAACTAATCAGGTTATAGAAGTAGGCATTTATCTTTTAAACACTTAACAGACACTATATAATGAGACAAGTATCCAAGTATCTTGACAGAATTTTTTTCATCATCAAAAAAGAAAATGACATTAAATAATTCTCAAAAATTGAAAAGCCACAAAATTAATAAAAAAAACGCAAGCAACTGTGTGAGATTATAATAAGCATATTAAACATTGTTTGCTTTAATTTTGTAAATCTGTAATGATTATTTTAAATGAAAAAAGTACATGTGGTTCAAACGTTTTCAAGTTTTATCAGGGTGTATTTGATCACCTTTTGTTGACACTTCTCCTTTTAACACCAGATATGTAACAGGCAGCTGTGTACAAACAGAATTAATGTGTGATTCTGAACCACATTTTAACATCCTGAAAAGGTATAAAAATAAGTATGTTCTGAATAGTTACTAACTTGAGTTAATATTTTGAAACCTAACGCTCCCTTTGCACAGCAACACATCGGTCATGTAAGAATGCTGACCTGTGCTCTTGTACACAGCATTTCATGTCATGGAACATATAAAAATAGATACATTTATTTCATAAACGTTTGAAGAAGCCAGTTCTTGCATCTTTCAATTTGCTTAACAAATCTAACACACACACACTCCGAAGAAGAACTGTTACATATTGAAAGAAAATAAAATCAACTAATTAAAAAAAAAAAAAAGCCCAATGATCTTGAACAAGTTCAAATTGCCAAGGTAACTAAATGAGGCTTTTGATGCCCAGCATATGCATTCATGCCAAGGTGAATTGACCTTATTTTTATTTACAGTGGAACTTTTTTGAACTTGGGGGGAAAAAATAAGTTAATTTATCCATAATGGAGCAATGCTTGTTACATTTGCAGATATTAAGAGTTTGTCACAAGCTGAAGCACAGATTCGCTCTGTTTGTCTGAGCAGGTTCACTGTGGCCAATTCTGGTTCACAGATCTACCGATGGAAGCATGCTAAAATAACATTAGTTCTACGAAGCTCAAACATAATCTTAAGAGAAAGGCAACAAGCAACTTCCTTTTGTTTGACCAAGTAAAATTAAGTCTTGGAGTCAAGATATCTTCATTGAAGCTGTGGAGCGCTACATTTGGATGTTGAAATTTGAACTGAGGCTTTGTAACTCAGAATCTTTCTGCCTCCTCGACTTCAGCTGCTTCTTGGGAAGAAGAGCACCATGGTGAGAGTTAGTTTTGGCATGTCTTAATGAACAGGGGTGGTTTAAACCTCAGAGCTGTCCATGTTGTGTCTCATGGGCTCCCCGTTGTACGCTGTGCAGGACGAAGTGGAATAAGGTGGGTACTTTTTCTCTTTCCTCTTGCGTTGCATCAAGAGAACCACCAGAACTACAACCAGGCATACCAGCAGGATGAGTCCAGCCACCCCCAGCAATGTGGACATGCCAGTGGGAAGAGAGGAATCTGAACCAGGCCCCTTACCCAGGCTCCCCTCCACCAGAGGGTGCTCCAGGTAGTTCTCACGACCCCATGGCTGACTCACCCGGAGTCTGTTTGAGCGATCCAGGGCGATGTGCTGAATGTTGGTGCCTCGGTTATTCTCAGCACTGATCTCGAAAGCTTCTGGGTCAGGCACTGCACGTCGACTTCGGGATTTGGTGCCAGAGTCAGCAATGGAGGATATAGCGTGGTGGTACTCAAGGCTTCGTTTACCACGGCTGGTGTTCTCTCTAGAACGGAGTGTGTAGATGGCATGGATGAACCATTCACGGCCAGCAGCAACCTGATGAATCAAACATTAAGGAAGGCTCAAGATTCTGGTTTAAAATGGGGTTTTACTATGGTTATAAAACATGGTGAAACTCTGACCTGGAAGAGGGGAGATGATGACAGGGTGAAACCATCAGATCCAGGTTGTCGGACCAAAGGCAAGGCTCCAGGGGTATCTAAAGCAACACTGGCATCGAACTTGACATTTCCAAAGGTGGTGGCTTGAGTTTCTGGCTGAGCTTTGTCCTACAGTTGAAAGACCAACAAGTTCATACATTCAGTGAACACAAGACAGATATTTAATTAACATGCAGTTACATACAATGACTTGAAAACACCTCTTCTATAATGAGCATGTTTTTAGTTCTGTATCTAGAGGGGGGGGGGGGGCAGGATAACAACTGCACCCTGGCTTTTTAATATTTTTTTTTAAAA